CTTTAATCATCAGACACCGACTCGCAGAGGACATGGATTGGACGAGGGTGGTGCTGTTGGTGGCCGAGGGGCTGATGAGCTACAGAACAGGTGCCAGAATATTCAAAAGTGCAAAACATTGTCTTAAACCATAAACTTTCTGAGGCAAATCAAAGGGCTCTTCCTAGTAATGATGTAGATGCATATGTAGAAAGGTAATTTGACAATGCAAAGATATCCTTCTGTTCAATCTGTAATTTAACGTACTAGAATCTTATTGAATCTCGTAAATTAATAAAAAAGATGTTTAGTTAATTGATTTATGCGGTGCAACTTATCCTTTTTTTCGATTAGATTCCCCAGTGTTACGGTTGATAGTAAGTTCCCCATCATTCCTTATGAACGACTGGAGGAACAGTCCATTCTCGGCCGTGGGGGGTTCGCCTACGTGATGAAAGCTCGACATCTTGACTGGAGACAGGAAGTGGCCGTCAAATGTTTGTGGACCCGCCAACTTGAAGGAAGGTCAGGAACTGATTACAGACCCACGTCCTTGCTCTAACGTCATCTTTCCCTTATGCTACACATTTTTTTATGATGGTCTTCGTGAGCTTTCATAGACAATACGAAAGATGTCTGCAAAGTAACATTTGCAAAGCAAGTGCACAATGTTACGTACCTTCGCATATGGTCTGCTTTGTTAATTCTTACTCAAACACATTCACATAATGGTCACAGGAGTCTAAATCCCTCCTACGACAAAATTGCAAATTAATAATAATTAATAAATAATGTAACCTAACAGTGAGAGACGGTCTGGTTTAGGTAATTGACCAGGTCAGAGGTCATGTTTGGAGAAGAGAAGGAAACTGAGCAAAACAATTTTCCTTGCATCTACGGAAGATACCCGTTGTATTAACTCCTTTTCGATACGCCGTTCTTCCTAAAGTGAGCAGGAAGTGATGTATTCTGAAGCGAGGAAACTGAACCTGGGAAGCCGCTCGGACCACGTCATCAGTCTGCTGGGGGTCTGTCTGGATCCAAACTTCGCCATCGTGATGCCCTACATGGAGAACGGCTCTCTGGCCGGGCTGCTGCGGGATGTGGACGTGCCCTGGGCCCTGAGGTGGAGAATGGCGCACGAGATCTCCCTGGGGATGACTTTCCTGCACTGCCAGAACCCGCAGATTCTCCACTGTGATCTGAAGGCAGAGAACGTGCTACTGGATGGAGACTTCCACGTAAAGGTAATAAAAAAAAACAAGTGGACCTTTGGTCAGTTGTGAATCTGTGTGTGAATTTTTACAAATTTTAGGAATGATTATGAGAATGAGGACTTCTACATTTTTCTTTTTTGCGTATCTTTTCTTGTGCCAGTCTGAAGAAGCCAAATAACGAACCTTTTGTTTGGTCTATTATAACAAAGCCGATGATTGCAAACAAATATAATTAAAGACAAAAAGTGCTTCGAACTCATATCAAATGACTCATGTTTGTTTCTTAATCAGATTTCAGATTTCGGCATGTCTAAGTGGAAGATCAAATCTCGTGTCGTCACTCAAACCAGTCCGGAAGGAAGCACAATCACGCATGCGCCGCCGGAGTACTTCGCTGACATCAACCTCGCTCCAAACCCAAAGTTTGATGTCTACAGGTACTGGTCAATATCATTATCTTTCAATGAAGTAACAAAATGAAACAGAAATAAACAATTCTTTTGCTTCCAGGTTACGTTATTACCATACTTTTATCTTCCACTGACGAAATACAAAATTGTCTTCCATGAGTAGTTTTTACCTGTAGTTTCCTAGGAGTTATCAGTGGTTCTCTGTGTATTAATTGTCTGTTTCTATACCAAACGTTTTTTTTGTTCCTGCGATTACTGAATTAGTCCTCGGACATGAATTTGCAGTCAAACATCTACTATCATACAAAGCGAAAGAAAGATGGCAAATGGCTAATCTGAGAACTTCTCAAACTTCTTAGTATTGAGTGATAGTTTTATCCTTTAGTTGGTTTCTATAAATTTCTAAAATGATGTGCTGTGGTTTCAGCTTTGGCGTGCTGCTATGGGAGATGATCACCAGAGCAGATCCATACGGAAGTGAGTTCATCCTTTTTTGTCTTGATGTCACTGCATCTTAATCTCGTGGTAAAGTTTCATTGCACACAGAGTTTTTCAGAGTTAAGATCATCAAATGCAATATTTCATATTTGTAATATTTTAGTATGGAAATACTTGTATAATATTTGCCTATTCATCAAATTTCCATCATCGCATCTGCAGATGCCATAAACTCAGCCCTCATCAGACTTGCCGTGACGTCAGGACAACGACCTGACATGACCCTGGTGCCTACAGGCCCGCCTGACGTCATCACAGTCAGTCAGCTGATGCAGACGTGCTGGAGTCAGAACCCAGAGGACAGACCTACATTCCAGGGTAACAACTCCATAGTTATACTTTATACACTCTACTGCTCTCACACTCATTATCAGCAGTCAGTCAGTCAGCTGATGCAGACATGCTGGAGTCAGAACCCAGAGGACAGACCTACATTCCAGGGTAACAACTCCATAGTTATACTTTATACACTCTACTGCTCTCACACTCATTATCAGCAGTCAGTCAGCTGATGCAGACGTGCTGGAGTCAGAACCCAGAGGACAGACCTACATTCCAGGGTAACAACTCCATAGTTATACTTTATGCACTCTACTGCTCTCACACTCATTATCAGCAGTCAGTCAGTCAGCTGATGCAGACATGCTGGAGTCAGAACCCAGAGGACAGACCTACATTCCAGGGTAACAACTCCATAGTTATACTTTATACACTCTACTGCTCTCACACTCATTATCAGCAGTCAGTCAGCTGATGCAGACATGCTGGAGTCAGAACCCAGAGGACAGACCTACATTCCAGGGTAACAACTCCATAGTTATACTTTATACACTCTACTGCTCTCACACTCATTATCAGCAGTCAGTCAGTCAGCTGATGCAGACGTGCTGGAGTCAGAACCCAGAGGACAGACCTACATTCCAGGGTAACAACTCCATAGTTATACTTTATACACTCTACTGCTCTCACACTCATTATCAGCAGTCAGTCAGCTGATGCAGACATGCTGGAGTCAGAACCCGGAGGACAGACCTACATTCCAGGGTAACAACTCCATAGTTATACTTTATACACTCTACTGCTCTCACACTCATTATCAGCAGTCAGTCAGCTGATGCAGACATGCTGGAGTCAGAACCCGGAGGACAGACCTACATTCCAGGGTAACAACTCCATAGTTATACTTTATACACTCTACTGCTCTCACACTCATTATCAGCAGTCAGTCAGCTGATGCAGACATGCTGGAGTCAGAACCCGGAGGACAGACCTACATTCCAGGGTAACAACTCCATAGTTATACTTTATACACTCTACTGCTCTCACACTCATTATCAGCAGTCAGTCAGCTGATGCAGACATGCTGGAGTCAGAACCCGGAGGACAGACCTACATTCCAGGGTAACAACTCCATAGTTATACTTTATACACTCTACTGCTCTCACACTCATTATCAGCAGTCAGTCAGCTGATGCAGACATGCTGGAGTCAGAACCCGGAGGACAGACCTACATTCCAGGGTAACAACTCCATAGTTATACTTTATACACTCTACTGCTCTCACACTCATTATCAGCAGTCAGTCAGCTGATGCAGACATGCTGGAGTCAGAACCCGGAGGACAGACCTACATTCCAGGGTAACAACTCCATAGTTATACTTTATACACTCTACTGCTCTCACACTCATTATCAGCAGTCAGTCAGCTGATGCAGACATGCTGGAGTCAGAACCCGGAGGACAGACCTACATTCCAGGGTAACAACTCCATAGTTATACTTTATACACTCTACTGCTCTCACACTCATTATCAGCAGTCAGTCAGCTGATGCAGACATGCTGGAGTCAGAACCCGGAGGACAGACCTACATTCCAGGGTAACAACTCCATAGTTATACTTTATACACTCTACTGCTCTCACACTCATTATCAGCAGTCAGTCAGCTGATGCAGACATGCTGGAGTCAGAACCCGGAGGACAGACCTACATTCCAGGGTAACAACTCCATAGTTATACTTTATACACTCTACTGCTCTCACACTCATTATCAGCAGTCAGTCAGCTGATGCAGACATGCTGGAGTCAGAACCCGGAGGACAGACCTACATTCCAGGGTAACAACTCCATAGTTATACTTTATACACTCTACTGCTCTCACACTCATTATCAGCAGTCAGTCAGCTGATGCAGACATGCTGGAGTCAGAACCCGGAGGACAGACCTACATTCCAGGGTAACAACTCCATAGTTATACTTTATACACTCTACTGCTCTCACACTCATTATCAGCAGTCAGTCAGCTGATGCAGACATGCTGGAGTCAGAACCCGGAGGACAGACCTACATTCCAGGGTAACAACTCCATAGTTATACTTTATACACTCTACTGCTCTCACACTCATTATCAGCAGTCAGTCAGCTGATGCAGACATGCTGGAGTCAGAACCCGGAGGACAGACCTACATTCCAGGGTAACAACTCCATAGTTATACTTTATACACTCTACTGCTCTCACACTCATTATCAGCAGTCAGTCAGCTGATGCAGACATGCTGGAGTCAGAACCCGGAGGACAGACCTACATTCCAGGGTAACAACTCCATAGTTATACTTTATACACTCTACTGCTCTCACACTCATTATCAGCAGTCAGTCAGCTGATGCAGACATGCTGGAGTCAGAACCCGGAGGACAGACCTACATTCCAGGGTAACAACTCCATAGTTATACTTTATACACTCTACTGCTCTCACACTCATTATCAGCAGTCAGTCAGCTGATGCAGACATGCTGGAGTCAGAACCCGGAGGACAGACCTACATTCCAGGGTAACAACTCCATAGTTATACTTTATACACTCTACTGCTCTCACACTCATTATCAGCAGTCAGTCAGCTGATGCAGACATGGTGGAGTCAGAACCCGGAGGACAGACCTACATTCCAGGGTAACAACTCCATTGTACTTTATACACTCTACTGCTCTCACACTCATTATCAGCAGTCAGTCAGCTGATGCAGACATGCTGGAGTCAGAACCCGGAGGACAGACCTACATTCCAGGGTAACAACTCCATAGTTATACTTTATACACTCTACTGCTCTCACACTCATTATCAGCAGTCAGTCAGCTGATGCAGACGTGGTGGAGTCAGAACCCAGAGGACAGACCTACATTCCAGGGTAACAACTCTATAGTACTTTATACACTCTACTGCTCTCACACTCATTATCAGCAGTCAGTCAGCTGATGCAGACATGCTGGAGTCAGAACCCGGAGGACAGACCTACATTCCAGGGTAACAACTCCATAGTACTTTATACACTCTACTGCTCTCACACTCATTATCAGCAGTCAGTCAACTGATGCAGACGTGGTGGAGTCAGAACCCAGAGGACAGACCTACATTCCAGGGTAACAACTCTAGTTATACTTTATACTACTCTACTGCTCTCACACTCATTATCAGCAGTCAGTCAGCTGATGCAGACATGGTGGAGTCAGAACCCGGAGGACAGGCCTACATTCCAGGGTAACAACTCCATAGTTATACTTTATACACTCTACTGCTCTCACACTCATTATCAGCAGTCAGTCAACTGATGCAGACATGGTGGAGTCAGAACCCGGAGGACAGACCTACATTCCAGGGTAACAACTCCATAGTTATACTTTATACACACTACTGATCTCACACTCATAATCAAACACATTATTCGTTAGGCCACATCCATTTAATTTTATTGATGACATCCTCTGAAGACCTGCAAACTAGTGCGCGCGGGCGAATAAAAAAATTCAGGCCAAAAATAAAAATGCTACTAAAATACAGGATTGCAAAGCTGGTATTGTGAATTTGTGGTAGTACATAGCGACGTATACGACAAGCCGACACATGCTGACTTTTTTGGAATTTCTGAATCTTCACCAGTTCGAATTCTTGCCCTCGTTCGGTAGCCTGAGTGCCACCCAATCCATAGTTACAACCAGCTCCGTATTTTCACTAACTACCATGGACTAGAGTCCTAGTCTAGAGACCTAGAGCCTCGTAGAACGTGATCTTTTTTTTTAAACAGGCGAAAATCAATGCGCACGTGGATGTCATCAATAAAATGAAGTCGGTGTGGCCTTACCAGACAATCTGTAAGTTGTGTTTGTCTCCCCTGTCCAGACTGTGCTGCCCAGCTCCAGCTTGTGAAGGACAGGTTTGGTTGGGAGCAGATTCAACAGGCCATTATAACCGTGAAGAAGATGAAGGTACAACACTTACGTAATGAGCTGACAATTTCAGGCCCCTTTAGATACCTTGCTATCTAGAAATGGGTCTTTTTGTCATCATCATCATTATAATTCATCATTTCGTTGTTCCTTTGGGTACCTAGAAACCTTACAGCAAAGTGGGGCAATTTTCACCGACGTCTCGTACCATAAAATACAATCAGTTAAAGAGAGCTGGGGAAGCGCTGTTGATTTCAACATGAACTAGAGTTCCACGATCTCATACCTTCGCCAAATGATGTTAGCCTTTATGAGTAAGAAATTATAGATTAATCCCCCTGATTGTGCAAATAGGATCCTATATTTGCATCAATTATATCTGTTGATCATACTCTACACCAGAAGACAGTCTTATCTTATCAAAGAATGCCATTATAGCATTTCCTCATAAATTATGCAAATGAGTTCTTATTTGAAAAAGTTATGTTTAATTATGTTCACCTTCACATAACTTTCAAATATCCCAAGTATGAAATTCCAGGCAGTTACCACTATGTACGAGTAAATATAACATTTTCTCATTAATTATGCAAATTAAGTCTTCATTTGCATAATCGATATCTGCCTGTATTTCTGCCGTTCTTAATTACATATGTCACAAGCTTGAATAGTCCTATCATGGAATGCAGCTGATTTATAGAATTTCCTCATTAATTATGCAAATTACATTAATATAATTATAATTATAAATATAATTATAATATTATTATGTTAAGCATCACTTCAGCTACCTACATGCCAAAAATCACGACGATCCATCAATCGGTTCTAGAGTTATCCGCCTTTAAATATTTTTCATCTAACGCCCCTGCAGTTCCAGAGCAAGCCGCTAGGGAGGCCAAACTCACATCACTTCTTTCCCAGCACAAGAGCTACCTACCATCCAAATGTCGTCACCCCAGCATGTCTAGATCACGAGATATCAAAACCGGAAGTTCAGCTGCAGTACCATAACAAGCCGCTAGGGGGCCCAAAATTTAATCAGTTCCACGTCTCATGAAGACCTATCCACCTACCAAATATCAAGACAATCCATTTTAGTCTTCTTGAGTTATCGTGCTGGCACACACACACACACACACACACACACACACACACACACACGAACGCCTACAAAAACATAACCTTTTTGGCGAAGGTAAATATTAACCTTACAGGTATTCAACAAAAGCAGCTTATGGGTTGAATATTAAACAGTTGTAAAAGTGATCGTTGAAATAGAGTTATTGAAATATTACTCATTTTATTATCTTTATCACAGGCCGCGGCACCCAGCAAGAAGTAACGTTACAGACAAATGGCTTGCAGTATAGTTATTCCACTGACGTGTCTCTACTGCTGCAATTAACAATTAATTGCGACTGAAGATTCTGCTTGTTCGCTAGTTAATATCTGCTAGTTTGGTTTAGTTTCGTTTGAGGTTTTTTAGCATGAAAATGCATGAATCGTGTCCGCACGATATGAACTTTGACAAAAATACGCGAACTGATAATAATTCTACTGAAAGCTGTTAAAATTATATAATTTTCTTGCGTTTGGACCATCCTGTGAAGAGGCATGAGCTGATATTGTATCAAGAAGCTGTCATTAACATTTAGCAACAATGTGTAAAGTGGTTGTGATGACCTCAAAATGCTGTTAAGAACCAAGAACTATCAGATTGTGTGGCCTTAGTAGGTGTTGATAAATGAACAATGTAGTAAGTATCGGAACGGCACTCAGTTTTTGTTCCATTGTTTCTATTTTCCTAGCTATGTGCTTGTGGTGTTGTAATATGGGCAGGTTTAGTGGTTTATGAAATAGGACTAGTATAACGATAGTATTTGCAGTTTATTGTGACTTGCTACCCACATTTGGCTCCACTCAACTAGAATTTTAATATTTTGTGGCCAATTCTTTCATTGACAGGACCGGATGATGAACATGGATATTCAGAGGTTAAATGTGACTTTTGCTCGACTCTAGAATTCCACAAAATTGTGTTGTATATACATGTAAACTTAGTAGGTTTGGAGGTGTATCGGATAAGACTAGTATCCGACACTAGCTAGTGTTGACTTCGTAGTTTTTTGTGACCAACATGCATTTTGTTCTACTCAAGTATTTCATGATATTCTGCAACCAAGTCAAGTCAAGGGACAGCTGAACAATGGATTTAAGATTCATATTCATGTTGTCATCATATTTGTTACAGAATTTTTCTAAAGTTGCAGAATAGTGTTAATTACATTGATAGCGACATTAACCAAGCAAGGATCATTGAAAATATACTTTGAGCATTAAGAATGTAGTATATGTAGGCTTACTAAGGTTCTATATTACAATGTAGTTACGTTTCTGACATACTATCCCTTTCAATAATCAAGTGTTAATACTGTAAACCAAATATTACCTTGTTATTTTCTTTTTTCTAAAATATCTCAAAATAATGTTGAATTATACATATGTTGTATAGAAGTAAGAATAGATATTACATCAACAACGAAAGTTAGACCAGTAGTGAAACATGTATTTGCTGTATGAATATTGATTATTATATACTAATAGATTATCATATATCAATCAATCTCCCGCAGGCGTGTTGTGCTGATGCATGGCGGCTGTCCACAGTTTTCTGTTCACAAGACCTTCATATTTCATATTATCACCAGGTATATCATATTGCATAATTGTAGCTAGAAACGTTCCTAATAATACTAAGTAATCTCCAAGAAGATCCTAGGATAGCATAAGACAGTATCAAATTGACCAAAGAGGGTCCAACACGCCACCTTCTCTGGACAATTTGATACTGTCTCATGCCACCCTAGGATCTGCTTGGAGATTACCTAAAGACACACGAAAATCATATGTATTGTGTGTTTGATAGAACTAGGTGTTATTGTAAGCTTGCAGTTTGGTCTGTCTCGCTGCTAAAGGGGTAATAAAACTTTGTTGAAAAAACACCTGAAAATGTTTCATCACTGAAACGAATATTATGTAATGTGATTTCATCATGAGGTTATATTGATATATATTTATTTATCTCAAATCCCCCAATTTGATTAAGAGTTTACTTTAAAGGTGGGTAATCCCTTCTGTACAAACACAAACTCGCAAACAAAAGGTGCGTAATGTACTTCACGTTGATCCTCTTAAAATCATGAAATGTTCACTCATTATTTGCTCTACAAAATGTCGTATATACCCATAAGACCATGTTGATTTGATTATATGGATGACATGACATCCGAGCGCGCATGCCTTTTCGTCCATTTCCAAACAAAAGTTTTTGACCATACCGTAAATCAAACAAAATGAGCGAATATATGTCGTATGGTGCAAAAAAAGTATTGGAAAACGATACTAATGTCAAAATCAATTCAGGAAAAGAAGAAAATGTAAAGAAATAAAAATTAAGAGTATCATTATTCATCATACCATACTCTGTGTGTTTAGTCATTTGCTCAACCTTTATGATCACGTAGATTTCATAATGAAGGAAACTTTTTTTGCCAAACGCTCGCTTCAGTTTTGGGATTCCAAGAGGATGTCACCCGTATAATCAAATCAATATGTCCTAATCATGAGAGACAGATAGAGAGGAATTAGAAACAGCGTGTTGATCAGTAGATACCTGTGACGTATATAAGCTTACAGATCTGATTTAGAGTCATTCAGAGACCTACTGTCACCACGGGGATTCCTCCATTAGGCCGCTCCATGATGGATAGATACAGCTGTTCTTCTGACGACCATCCATCCGTTCAGTAGCTGTTCCTAGAAACGAGGAGGCCCAGTGGACGTTCCTCGTCGAACCACGTGCTGTGGCAATGACTGGAAGAGATCATGACACCAAAATATGACTTTAGCTGATTGTAATTGACATAACTAGTACATGTGTGTACTACCTGGCTAACAGACACATTAACAATAAATATGCACGGTTCACGGCCTGTTACATTCGAAATTCTAATGCCCAACCTTGGAAAAGTCAGCACAAGCTAGTACTGGCAGGTGATCTGCATCTCTACATTTTATTTTTGCATGTCTGTATTTTTTCCTGATCTGACGTCATCCAGTGATGTCAGCTCAGGAAAAAGCACAGAAATGTAAAAATAAAACACAGAGATGCAAATAGAGATGCCCGAAGTGGGCAATTGGGAAGCTTGCTCCAAAAATTCACTTTCAGAAGGCCGCACAAGCTCAATTTCTCAGTCATCATGATTGGAACAAACTTCCAGTGACTATATTGTATGTACACTCCCGATATTTGTATGTATTTTATGGACTTTTTTTTTTGTGTCATTTGGTCTTTAAGTCTGTATGTATGTTTGATCGTACCTGCAGAAATGATCTGCTTTGGGGAGTAGTGTTATGTGATCTGCAAGCTCGAAATAGTATAGTGGGGCAGATAACTGACTTTCACTTTGCGATACAAGCACCAAACTTGGTACAAATACTCATGAGACATTACTCTTTTGAAAAAGTACGCGGGTCACTTGATTTGACTTTTGGAGCCCCCTAGCAGCGCTTTTTGGTACTGCAGTTGACCTTCCGGGCTTTGTATCTCCTGTTTTAAACATGCTACAGTCATGATTTTTATGTGGTATAAAGCTGTTAAAGTAAGGAAGAAGTGACGTAAATTTAGTGTCTCTAGCTGCTTGCGTTGGAACTGTAGGGGCGTTTTTGCCGGTGAAAAAAATTTGCTCCAAGGGCGCTTTTTGGTACTGCAGCCGACCTTCCGAAGCAAAAAAAAGCGCCCTTGAAGCAAATTGTGCACCGGCAAAAAACGCCTCTGTAGGTTCAACGCAAGCAGCTAGAGACACCAAATGTACGTCACTTCTTTCTTACTTTAACAGCTTTCTACCACATAAAAATAATGACTGTAGCATGTTTAGAACAGGAGACACAAAGCCCGGAAGGCTGGCTGCAGTACCAAAAAGCGCCGCTAGGGGGATCCAAAAGTCAAATCAAGTGGCCCGCGTACTTTTTCAAAAGAGTAATGTCTCATGAGTATTTGTACCAAGTTTGGTGCTTGTATCACGAAGTGAAAGTCAGTTATTTCGAGCTTGCAGATCACATAACACTACTCCCCAAAGCAGATCATTTCTGCAGGTACGATCAAACATACATACAGACTTAAAGACCAAATGACACAAAAATCACAAAGTGAAAGATTCCTCCAAAATTTGATGTTATCTGCCCCACTATAAAGTGGATTCATTCCACAAGCTAACCGACATCTCGTACACGCAGTCGTCCCTCAGTAAGACATCTGGAGCCGCATAGTTCCCGTTTAGAACTTTTATTCAGCCTGTTACACTGTAGCCTCTGTACACTTGAAGAAGCCACACAGGCGAAACCGGTCGTGTGACAGGCTGAATAAAAGATGTAAACGGGAACTATGCGGCTCCAGATGTCTTACTGAGGGACGACTGCGTGTGCAAGATGTCGGTGAGCTTGTGGAATGAATCCACTTTACTATATACTGCTTTGGGGAGTAGTGTTATGTGATCTGCAAGATCGAAATAGTATGGCTGCTGTCGGGGGAAATGTCGAATTTCTGATGTGGTACTCTACGTTCGTTTGTCAAATGTTGCATTTGCTTGACACCACGAAGAGCATAGACACTGTCAGGTAATCAAACTAAGGCCATGTTGATTTGATTATATGGATGACATCCGCGCGCGCATGAATTTTCGGCCGTTTCCAAAAAAAAGTTTCCAACCACACTGTAAATTGTACAAAACAGTTGAAAAATGAACAAATATATACCGAAAGTTGCAAAAAAAAATATTTGAAAACAATTCCAACGTCGTAGAACGTAGTAGAACAAAAAACTAAAATGCAAAGAAATGAATTTAAAGAGTAGATTATTCGCCATACCATACTCTGTGTCATTTGTTGGACCTTCATAACAACGTCGATTTCATGAAAGCAACTTTTTTTTTTGCAAAACTTTTTTTTTATTCGCGCGCTCGCATCAGTTTTGGGGTTCCCGGAGGATGTCATCCATATAATCAAATCAACATGGCCTAATCTGCGCCGTATATCGTATCTTTGTAAAAAATATTTTTTATAGTTTTACCTCCATGAAAAATGGAGGTATAGTTTTGGTCTCTCCTCTCCTCTCTCTCTCTCTCTTTCTCTCTATCTCTCTCTGTCCATGTGTGCGTCTGTGTTTCCGCATGGCCCTTAGGTCAGGTTGTAGTGGAGAAAGTCATTAATGACTTCATCTGTTTTCGCAGGTGTTTTTCGTTACATGTCCTCCTTGACAGCTGATAGCTGCTATTTTTCCCCCTTTGCACAATAACTAAGGGCATTGCAAAAGAAGATTGCACAAGATATAAATATTTCATGGAGGTCTGAAATATCAGAATTCGCAGCGCTTCCCTTCTAAAGATTGATATCAACATAGAGAACACTCATATCAACAACTCAATTTTGTCCCACGACAGTAGAACACACCTTGAAATGCATTTCAACTGGAACAACAGTGCGTTTCTCCATCATTTTCACGCGGAGCAAAGACTTGTCTTCATTGTGAAGCAGACGGCATAATACATAACTATCTGCACTCGTTGTCAGTTGGTGCAAATGGATGGTAAGAGGACTGAAAGCATGGTGGTGATTACTGCATTCTAATCTATCACAGTATGAATTTCCACTGTGCAGTTAGCTGGGGATAGACTCATCACAGTAGTGAGCGAAAGAAAATGAGCCATCAAGAAATTAGTTGTACATTTTTGGCCCACTGGGCTAAGTACAGTCCCCTGGCTTATATATATATATATATATATATATATATATATATATATATAGCCTATGATTTCAGTAGTGAGTCCTAACCATGGGGGGTGGGGAGGTTAGGGTTAGTGTTCAAGAGGCCATATTAGTGAATATGTGACAACTGGGGCTTCACTGGGCTTGTCGTTCCCTTCCATGATAATGGTACACCCACCTAAGGCCGTGTTTATGTGAAGTCACCCAAACCGCGATTCGGGTAACTCACATTCCTCACATCTGGTCCACGTGCCATACATTCCTTTTAAAACGTGCCCGATCACGATTCTCCAAAACTACATTCATTGTTGTTTGATGAAAACACGCAAGGTAGCGTGTTATTAATGTCAGAGGTCAACGACCTGCTTGCTGGTGCCCCCCTCCCAGCGTATCTCGGCCGAATGCCGACGTGGTCCCGCCAGAGGCGGTGAAGCTCGTCCTAGAACGGACATTATTTGACCATTACTTCTCTTTAAGTACTGACACGTAAAATGTGGTATTGCATATAAAAAAAGAAATATCACCCCGTAATACATGACCAAGTGAAGTCACATTGAAATCACATTGCGTTCAGACGCAAATCGTGATGCGGGAAAACCGATTCGAAACCACCTCTAGAAGTGGCTTGGGATCGAGGCGCTTTCAATGTGATTTCGGAGCGTTCACATGGAGCCACTTGAAACCGGCTTCGGGGTAAACCACGTGTAAAGCGCCTTGGGTGACTTCACATGAACACGGCCTAAATGAAGACGCCAGCCTCCATAACTCTGTCGTAAGCCTTTAGATCTAGAAATCCCCGTGTCCAGTCGCTTCACTCAGTGTTAATCCCACATGCTCATCCCAGCTTTACTTTTATATGATAGGCCATGTTGATTTGATTATATGGATCACATCCTCTTGGAACCCCAAAAACTGATGCAACTTTCCTCCAAAACGTTGCCTTCATAATTATGAAATCTATGCGTTTATGAAGGTTGAACACACACAGATTATGGTATGGCGAAAAAGGCAATATTGATTTGATTATATGGAAGACATCCTCCTGCGAATAAAGAAAAGTTTAGCAAAAGAAAAATTTTCCCTCATTATGAAATCTACGTGGTCATAAAGGTTGAACAAATGACTAAAAACACGGAGTATGGTATGGGGAA